ACACTACAACGGGAGAGATGCATTCCACGCACACATCCTGCTCCCAATAAGGACCGTACGGTCGATACGGACTTTTCAGCAGGGACATGCAAAACGTCCCTGCATATTGCACTTGTGAGTCCCCTTTCATCCCTTATGGAAATAAAAATTTCCTCGCCGGGATGATATCTCGTATATTTCATCATCAGATCGTGTATTTATCGGGATCTCGACCCCTTTATCCCGCCCATTCATTGGTCGGCATTCTCACAAGGAGAGTGACAAGGAGGAAGAGTGCCGATGAATGTAAGGGGGAAGATCTCACCCCAACGAGGAAGTAATTCTTCCTTCAACGGGATGATAGGGGACTCCAACGGTTGTAGGTGGGGACATGTAAAGAATGGAGAGGGGCTGCTGACTAGCGATGAGAGGGCCACTGAGTTTTAAAGCCGCCGAATGAACTCGGGATTTCTTGCCGAAGAGTTCGTGCAAATCGCACGTGTCGGCTAGTACTACTTACTATCCGACCCGTGGAAGACTTTCACGAACTTCGGGTCGGGCCTAGGCCCGATGTGACAACTATCTGCCCGCTAATCAATTTTGTCCGGCCTGCGAGGTTCCCTTTAATAGTGAAACGGGATGATTACGACGTGGCCGACGTCGTCTCTCCGATCCAAGGGTAAGCGCTCCCATTCTATACAGGAGGGATCCCGCCATTTTCACCCTCGGAAGTCACTTTCCTTGTGAGAGTGCCGATTAATTCGAGGACGGAGTTCCAATTGATATATTTATCAGGATCCCGATCCCTTTATGGGCGGAGATCTCATCCCGGCGAGGAATTCATCCTTCCTTCAGCAGAATGAAAGGGTCCCAGCGTATTCCTCCAAGTGGAATGCGCTGGGACGTGTGAAACGTCCCTTCGGAAAAGTCCGTATTGGTGGTGTGAACCTAAAGCAGGGAGGGGAGGGGTTGTTTGAGTAGAATGCTTCACTCTCCCGTTGTAGTGTTAGGGACGGCATGAAGAAAACAAATGAACGTCTTGGGTTCGGTGGTGTTGTGATTGCACATTAGAACGACATTCGGGAGGCCCTGTGTTGGATTCCCGGCCGTTCCGTCGTGTTTTTCGTCATTTTATGCATATAACCAAGGGGAGTTGGAGAGACCCCTCTTAGATTTGGATAGAAGCGCGTTTTGGGTGTGGAACGCCTTGCACTTCTAGGCATGCTGTGTAAAGTAGACTGGGTAGCTGTGCGCGCCTTTGGCATGGGAACCTGGGAAAGACCATGACGTCGCGAAATCCGAAATTTGTGGAAACGTCCTCTAAACTGAAAGTCATTTCTGTTTGTGATGGATTTTGTGAATTCGATATCTGGCCTTCTCACATTAGATCGGAGCTGTCATGAAAATCCTTTCTCCGTCTTTATTCACAATTTTTTCACTTCAATTCCTTACGATCCCGGTTCATCCTCACTGCATTTTACCTTTTCAGGTGTCTCAGCCTAAAAGAGTTCTGGCTGGTATGAAGATCCCAATAGCCAATGGGAACTTGCGGGTACTTGCGTTTCATAACTTATTTCACAATTGAGTATTTGTGAATACTCTTTTGCGAACGAGTTTTTGAATCATAGACGCCTTTCTCGGAAATCTTCGACGACTGTTCCTTTTTTGCAACACCGGATTGAAAATGATTTTCTCAGCTTCACTGTCTCCTGTGCTTTCTTCAGTTTCTGACGAAGGATTTATACCTCTAAACAATGAGCTTTCATGGTCATGGCCATTTATGAATTTGTCATTGTTCCCATTCTCATGAGGAGACCAGCTCGTCCTACATTTGTTGAAGTGGATCGTCAGACCGTCAAAAAGGACAAATCTAAAAAGGACATATAATATTCACGTTAGGCGCCTAGCGTGAACGTGGAAGTTTGCGTTGGATCTTCGGCCAATTCCCTATGGGAATGGCATCTTTTTTCAAGCGCCATATTGCGTTTCGATCATGATAGGAATCTAAGGAGAAGGGATGCGAGCACACGAAAGCATATCTGTGGATATACTTTCTTCCAAGCGATTGAAGGTATTCATTTTCTCAGTCTAGACATACTGGACATTCATGGAAGGAAATATTTCATGCCTGCCGAGTCCTATAAATATTCTTTGAGGATCCGACAATGTAATCCGTGCCACTGTCCTTCATAACAACTGCTACAAAGAAAGTGAGTGAAATAAAGGAACCTAAGAATATGATCGAAATCGACGGACAGGTCGGCAAGGTACTGTATATACGATGCTGCCTAGGTGGCTCTGACAAATAAGAGTAGATATATTACAGCTATGAAAGGAAGTGTGTGCGACCTGTCTTGGCCTTAAGCAGCGAGGTACTGAGATGGTCACGGCCAAAGTGCGCGCTTTTATAGGGGAACGTTTCGCTGACGTCATCACCATGCGCAAGATTTCCCCCCCGGCTATTACATCGTTCTCGAGAATAGGTTCGACAGTCGCAACCATGGAGTAGAGAGTGTAACTAGAGGCTTCCACTCCACTCGAATCCCATTGATTGACAGGGTCGCAATATAGATGTCGCTGTCGATCCTCCACCTAGCGTGCGCACATCAACAACTCATCCATGGCCGAACAGCGGACGAGACGAGACACGCGTGTTACGTTGAGGGATCCCTTTAGGTCAAATCCGCAAATGAGTCGATTCCCGATTCCGCTGCCACGAAGTACGCTCCATGGAAGTGTTGTTGACAAGCCACCAGATGTTTCTGTAATGTTTCGACTCCCTCCAACGCCTCGGAGTGTCGCCTCTGGTTACAAAATGGTTGCAACGGCCGGAAAGAAAGCGTGAGTCCTAGAGAGGGAGACGTACGCCAGGAGGCAGGCAGATGACGCTGCACATGCGCACATGGATGCGGATAGATAGTGACAGCGTATTAGACTGTGTGGCAAAAGTAGGTATACAGTAGTAATTGTATTTTATTTTTGTATTTATAGTTAGAGGATAATGGCAGGGAACCTGACTTCTGAACAATAAAAATGGCTGTTTCAGACGCACTGGAACAGAAATAAACAAAAAGTAATACATGAAAAAAGTAATCATGAATAAATAGATAACTATACCTACTTTTGCCACACCCTGTATATGTAATGTTTGTGTGTCTGTCGGTCTGTCCTTTATGGACGGCCACGCCTCAGATCCCAGTCCGACAAAAGTTTGCATGGCTTCTTCATTCGGTCCAGGGATGGTCACAGGCTAGGTGGCGTTTCAAAATTCGGAAGCCGCGTATCAGGGCCGGTCTTAGGCCAAATGGCAGTGAGCTTCTTCCCCACATTCTTCCCGTGGTCGCCTGGGTACCTTATTTCGTGCAGACAAATATGGGACGTGTACATATTCATCCGTGCAATGCCGAGTACCTCTGCTAGTATTATATACAAGGTGTGGCTAAAAAGAAACGAGAAGTATTTTTTAATAATTTATTCTTTTAAATACAACAATTTCAATGTGTATCCCCTTCAAAGTACTCTCCGGCCGCGCCTACGCAGCGCTCCATTCGCGATTTCTAGGATCTAAAAAAGCAGCGGAAGTCCTTGGAAGATACCGCCTTTAATCGCTTCGTAGTGTTCTTTTTGAATGTCTGCTAAGTCCTCAAATCGTTTTCCTTTGAGGTGGATTTTAATTTTCGGGAACAGAAGGAAGTCGCACGGCGCCAGATCTGGCGAATAAGGCGCGTGCTCCAATGTTGTGATCTTGTTTTTCGTTAAAAACTCTCTCACTGCGACGGAGGAATGACACGGCGTATTGTCATGGTGCGAAAACCATTTGTCCGGCCACAAATTGTGTCGTGTCTTTTGATTTTTTTTTCACGAAATCTTCCTAAAATCTTAATGTAGAGTGTGTGATTAACAGTCTGATTCCTCGGGACAAATTCATGATGAACAACACCACGACAATCAAAGAAAATGACAAGCATGGACTTTATCTTCTATCGAGACATTCATGCTTTCTTTAAACGGGGCGAATAAAGAGTTTGCCATTGCATGCTTTGACGCTTGGTTTGTGGATCATGCTGAAACCATTTTTAGCATGTTTCACTAAAAATTTAATAACAAATCTTTGTTCTAAATTACGATCACTCATTTTTCCGCAGAAGGGTCACAACACTGACTCACTTCAAGAGGCACAGTTAAATCAAAACTTAACCGATTGCAACGAAGCAAAAACTGATGTGTACAGGAAGAAACAAGTTACAGCACGATATGTATGTTGTTCACATGCGTAGTAATAAGGCGATGGTAAGCAACGATTCCAGTTTTTTTTTTAGCCGCACCTTGTATACTGTATAGATGTTCCAACGTCATCTTTCTTAGCCCTTCTTTTTCCTAGCTCTTAGAATATTTATTACCCATAGTATATCAAATAATTTCCTGAAGGTATAAATATAATATATACTTAATGCTGAGAAGTTTCCATGCCATGCCCTTATGGTGTCACATGTTGGTTTTCAAATAATATCAACCTTTAAAGAAAAAAGAAGTTCATTAGAGAAACATCTGGATTATCCTTTATACAGCAATTCCCTGGGATATGAAAATAAATTATTTTATTACGTCAAATCCACTTAATTTGCATTTAGGACACAGAAGTGATACATTTATAATGTAACATATTTTAAATATGAAACATACTGGGAGAAGTGGACAAGGACAATGGGGACCCCACGGAATATACATTTCAAAGGAAATTGTCCCTTAAACAAAAATGTTAAGTGCTAGCAACCTGTGAAGGGATAAGGTCATGGAAAAGATCAACTGTACATGGTGAAGCAATATGCGTTGTAAACATCAACATGTTCGTGCTAAAGCGAATTACGAAGCCTGAACTTCGCATAATGCGATATTGCAGAACGAATGACTTCCAGAAACGAAAATTGGCCCTTACATCCCCACAGCCCATGCTCGAACCATCCTCAGCGAAATTTATTTCATGGGCAATCGCTGAGGAGTCCCCAGAGTGAGTCAGGTGGCTAAGTGGCTGGACCCACGACCTGTACTGGGGATCGATGGCTAAGGACCCAAGCGGCTACCGTACTGAAGAACCATTCCAGGATCTGTATCATGGTCAACACTGCAAAAAATTACATTTTTATGTGTAAAATAAATCGGCACGTTGTGTGGAAAATAGAGGGTGAGTCATAAGTTCTGCCAACCATGCATTTGAAATGAAGTAAACGTGTCATGTGAAGAATTTACTTGGCTTTCGTATGATTTAAGCCATATTCCAATCCAAAGACAAGTTCACGAGTCATTACCGGTGAAATGGTGGGCAGGACTATTGACTCATCCTGTGTATTATTTCTACGCATTTTTCGATTCGTCGTTTACCTGAGGCTCCGAGAAGCAACCCTAGAGTCCCTCCAAGGTCGCATAGAAGTGCGAATATATTATAACTGTACTCCTCCTGGATCTCCTCGTAGTTCATGTCCACATAATAGAGCTGTGAAAAAGCAGAAAAAGCATGAATGCCCAGGGATTTGTCAGGCATTGACGCGGAAATATTGATAGGAAGATTATGCTTGCGTGTCTCACTCGAGTGACGGAGACGTTGTCTGTTCGAATACGGGAATCAACTGAGAAACTGTAGAGATCCTGATTGCATGGCGTGGGACAGTCACATTTGTCAGGGATCCAAGTCGGGATGGTCGCGTCTCTCCCGTCCACCATTCGGATGCTCGTAAACGAGGCTTTCGTGAACTCCTTTCCCCCGTTGCACATCCTAGTCGTCGAGTTCGCCATGAACGGAAGTCTGGTGCAGGATGTGTAAAAGAAGCATATAAACGCAAATTGTTATTACTTTGCATAGTGTAAAGGTCGACATACTGCGGACTTCTGTAACGATGGGGCGGGGTTGTAAGGAAAAGCGCCTGATAGTTATAAATCCCAGACGTCTAACTTAAGTCTAACTTAAGTGTGAGCAAAAGGAATGGGTAGGACCATTCACTGTTCATATCATGTGACGACTGAATCATTAGTTTGGGATACACTCCTTCACAACGACCGAAATCGTTAGTAGGTGTATCGCGTCGTAATAAATTGACATTCGTCATCCTGAAGCATGTAGCGACCGTCAATTACGATCGGTATTCGGAACTTGATGGTTAAACCGAAAAGGGACCACAAATATCATGTCTCACCTGCAACCGACTCTGGAAATGAGTTCCTTCTCGTAGCAAGCCCACTGGCAATTTGATAGAACATAACCGGGATCTGTTTCGCATGGATTGCTGCTGCTGCTCAATGCTCGATACTGCTCAACAAGAATGATAACGTTTAAGTAATCCCTTCTGCAATGTCACAGGAATTTCCTTAAAAAAAGATTTCTATGTTTACATGCATTATCAAGACCTGGGTTGCTGATGTACTGATTAAAAAAGGCTTCATACTGTACTATGCACCTACAGCGTGACCCAGAATTGTCTGGACATACGGGGCTGCGTATCCATGCTGCTCTGACCTAGACTTTTGCTGCCCTGGCTAATGCGCGAGGCCTACTTGAAGATGCCATTCTAGGCAAGGTGTAAGTTACGAAAAATCTACGTTCAGTCACATCTGGGACATCCTGTATATTGGGGTAACACAAGTAAGGAATTGTTCAATAGAAGGAAACGTCTTGGGAATCATCGCCTGCTTCAACTACTTGGAACTATCCCGCCAAGTTGCTCTGATGCCGAAATCATATTATTCACAACATCTGGTTCATTCGAATATAAGTGACCTAGAGTCGAATTTTGATCCAACATAATTATTAAAATTGATAGAAATTCATAGAAGTGACTTGGTCCCCTCAGGTAACCCATGTTATACTGAAGAAAGACAAATCAGCCCATTATCTCAATTCGTTGTAGATCATTCTAGAGGGACCCAATTTTATTTAGCTTGCCTCTTCATAGAAATTGACCTCGTGACGTAACTTGAGCCACATAGAGGGAAAGAAAAACCAAAGGAACACGAGGTAATAGTGAATTCTTTAGGTCTAGGTCATTGTTTAAGGATGAATGGACAACTGAAAAGTGTAGTCTCCTCGAACCTTTCGAATGAAGTTTGACAAATTAGGAAACCTGTGACGAGTAGATGAGTCACTTTTTCCATTTTTATGAGGATAGGTTATTAGAATCGGTAATCTGAATTTCAACCAATAGGTCGTTATCGATCAATTTTGATGAACCTGCGTCATTGCGATGATTTTATTGTATGTACATCAATGGATCAAGGTCACTTTGGAACAATCTGACGAGGACAATTTTAATAATCCCTGGGCATTCCTGGATCATTTAGCTGAAATGGAGTCGATAAAATCGATTTGATCCCGTTTGTGTTATCTTAAGTCGTTTTGGGATATGTGCACCCATGATTGAGGCATCATTTGTGATTGAGACATCGGTGACATTGCGTCAATCCAGGCAGGCGGGTTAATTAATAGTGCTTCAAACAGGAAATGATCCATCTGCAATTACGAATATTTTTTTACTTTTGGGTGATTAATGATAAATCACTAATAAAAAATGCCAAAACAACAACCTCAACAACCCGGAATTTGATTAAATTCAATAGACAACATACTGCTGTGCCCAAACTCCCGTAATGTCACGTTTGAGTCCTACCAACTTACCAAGTTAAATGCAACAGGGTAGTCAAAATTTAGCGTTACCAGGTAACCTCTGATTTTGATAGCCCCATAACCCAAGATTTACTTATGCTAATGCCTTTATTAAGGTGTCAACTCGCTAGTAATTATAACATATGAAAAAATAGCATACTAACATCACTTGTGTAAAGTAAAAACATGGTGTTGTTTATGAACGAAATAAGTTTGACATTTGAATTTTAATGAAATAAATTTTAACTCTAATTCTAAATGCATGTTTTTTTTTAATCCATGAAAAAGTAATTGTTCAGAAATTTCGAATGCATTTCTTTAGAAGAGGAGTATTTGAACCAGGAATACAATTTGAGGCTGTCGACGCTGCGTTTTTTTTCTTGTGAAATTTGGCAGGTTAGTCTGAAATGTATATTTTTGATGTTGAAGGCAAAACCGCGACCTGTTATATTCAGTGGCTTGTGGGAAAAGATAGCCTTTCTAGAGTAATTATATTTAAGTCATGGTGTTCGCCGTCAGTTCATTATTTTTCATATTGAGATCCCCGAACAAACGTTACCCCCTCGTTCGTCCGAATTTCACCGCTTTTCCCCTTAATCTTTACCTGAAGGGTCTTTTGACAGGCAAAGAGAGGGGGGAAAAGCCTTCTTTTTTTCCTTGAGTTTCACCGTCCCAATTTTACCTCTGGGGAAAATTTTATGTTAGGGTCTCTTACAGTTCGGATTGAGACTCCGATGTGTAAGTCGAGGTTCTTCACAAGATCTTGGCCTTGAGTAAGTGATGTCACAAAAGGCACTTCTTCCTGCTTGTGGACCACTGCTTCCCATGTTTCAGATACCGTCGCTTTGAGTCCATCCACTTGGTCCGGATTCGCTTTCTTGTCCGGGTGCACTTCAATGGGACATATCAGGTCGTTGTCATGAAATATCTGATTCCTCGAAAGAGGAACGGGATTGAAACAGACCCATGCTGAGATACAGCCCGTTGTAGATTCCGGGGAGTGTGATGTCGTTCCCTCTATACGTGAAACATTTCCCGGTGATAGTGTCAACTTCTGCGAAACTTCCAACATTCTGGCACACGATTCCTCGACCTAGAAAACACTGAAGAGTCCCCATTTAGTGAGCTTGATTGTTTTTGGAAGATGGTTGACATCCGCTTCCGATCCCTCGCCCAAAGCCCTTCTCGGTCATCCTTCCCTCCCTTCTCGAGGAAGTGGAAAGTAGAGCGATGTAGTGCAGTGATGTGCTCAACATATAGAGAGGTGGGATGGTTGCCTTGACTGACTTTGGGGATGGAGGAAGGGGCCTTCCCCAGGAGGTCCAAGAAAGGTAAGGAATTGAAAATAAGTTTTGCACACACCACAAGCGGAATCATCTTTCTAGTGGTGGCACTATATTCCAGTGCGCTTCATTTGATGAATTGGTTCTTTTTTGTTAATTTTTAGGCAGAGAAACAGAGATCTGCCCCTTCCAACTATGCTTTCTGGTAGGGCACAATTGCCACCGGGTTCTTCCAATTGCTCATGAATGCTGTTAGCATTATCGCTATCACGTGAGAAATATTCAGTAACAGCCCTTTTACCAACTTTCGAAAAATTAGTAATTTAATCTGCTTATTCTACGGAGTGTACTAGAGAAGTCAATCAAGAAAATGATTTAATGCCATTAAATGCTTAGTTGAATTTTCACGCAGGAGCAGAAAAAAAAATAGCTATGAAGTGCTCATAATTGCACCACTGCTTCTGGGAAGATGGAACTGTGCCATTCATCAGTACCTTCTCGACGCACCTCGTAAATAAAAAATGACCTGGGGTGGTCTAGATCTTGAAAGGATATCTACCAATCCAAAGACGCATCTCAATTCGAAAAGTGTTGGTCTGGGGAATTTGAACCGGTAGAAGTGATAATAGGTGTAATACATACTAAGTTAAATAAAAAGCGGGGCAGGAGGGTTAACATCGGTTCCCTCAGTGATGGGAAGGGACCAAGTGGAGTGCTCAATTATGACGTCGCTTCAGCCCTAGAGGAATTTCGGAAGACATCATACGGTGGCGATGATACTTGAGATATCGTAGGATGCGAGTTGCCAGAACTTTTCGACACCGATCTTCGTGGTCAAGATCTCGGTTGCGTTTGTCAGCCCTGGGTATTTCAAAGATCCGAATTCTGCTGTCCACAAGTTCTCCACTCGCTTAGCGTCGAATCGGTCCCCGACAACACTAGACGGACAGTGATTTAGGTCTCAACACAAACTTCAATTAATTTAAAAGTAAAAAATGTGCAGGTTTACTCGATTCTGTGGCATATACTCATGGCAGGGAAGATGAGCGATTCGTTTCTAACGAGTTGCAATCGAACGGCGATGGGTCCGGACGTGTAGGTGAAGAGACGGTCTAGGCTTTGGGCCATCATCAACGCGAAACAAACAACCAATATGAGGCTCCAGATCACCCTTCTGTGGATGAAGAAAGTCAACCAATATCGATGTTAAAGTTATTCACTCAAGAAGAGGCTGATATGAAAATGGCAAGAAACACATCGTTAACCCATCCGCATCAAAGGGTGTACAGGTACGTCGCGCTGCGCCTGGACTGTATCACCGAAGACGTTCTGGTACGCAATGTTATTTAAGCGACCATACTTTGGGAAATGTTGAAGCTATGCTGAAGAAGAAAAAGCTTGTGCTTGCCTAGGTAGTACACAGTCTTCTCTTGTTTACTTGCTAAGTCCATTGTCTCACCATGTCTGGGAGACACGATAGGGGCCACAAAAGAAGACAAATCACTTCTGTCGAGAATTGAGAGAGGAATTAGAATGAAATTTATTATGTCCCCGTTTTATTCTAGTCCCATGTAACTAATTGTGAGGGTTGAGTTTTTGCGGTTATTATGGGCGATAATTATGATGGAAAATTGGAATCGGATGCAGAAAACGATTTGGATCAGGATTTAAGAGATATGACTGAGACTGAAATTAGCGAGGCGAAATCGTTCGATAAATCTGTCATGAATTCGACGAGTCATCTGCCTCAGACCTGCATGATTCGAATCCATCTCCGTCCAGAGATAAAGTTTCAAAGACAGCAAACAAGCTTGAATGAAAAGACACCCTATGGAACCGCCAAACCGTCATACCTTTCACTGGACAGCCCGGAATCGATCAGACAGCAATGAATGGGGCAACAACAATGGCAGAAATATTTTATTGTTACTCTGGAACTATTTTTGATGAGTAAACCATGAATGAAACCATTAGTAAACCGTGAATTATAGCAACATGTGTTCAATTAAAAGTTTTATTGGCGTCTGTCGCCGGCAAGTGGTCCTAGGATTTCAGCCAGAAATTTCTCTAAATATGCGAATATTACTTTTGATACAAAAGTTCATTATCTATTTTCCCAGAAGGCATGCATAGAGGAGAATGTTACATTAAAAATTAAAGAATCAGTCATGCTTATATATTATTCATACCATTCTCAAGATATTCATGTATGTAATGAAAATACAAATCTGGAGATACTGAATTGTACTACAGGAACAGATGCCACCATGAGTTCTATTATGCATACTGTTGATTTAAAATCGGGCCAGGTGTGAAGAGTAGATGTCAAGTGTTTGCAGATCTTTTAATGCTGCTATTAATATATCATTCAAATGTAAATACTTTTCGTTTGAAAATACATTTTCCGAACATGTCACATCTGACACTTTCTTGTTGCATCCAATACAGTCACAAAACAGCCATACAATATTTTCCATGTATTGTGATCCTGGGGATAATATTACCAATTAAATGCTTTCATGTAAACTATAGAATGAGCATATTACTAAGTTATTAGGTTCCGCTCTATGACAGAAATGTGAACATTACAGCAAGTGACCTCAGCCTGAGGTTTCAGGAAATGTCATGTCTGACACTTTCGCGCATAGATACACCTCTATCAAAAAAGAGCAAGCAAGATTTTGGATTATGGAATCTTCATTCACTACCTAAAGAAAATCGCTGCAAACTTCGTATGTTGATTCGTCGTATATATTATAGTTTAATATATGTTGTATATGAAATATAATACTCCGGATGTCACGTCTGACACGGTGGATAGACACATTGCTTTAGCCGGTCGAAACATGCTCACACGCTCCCGTATGCTCAGCCATTCGGTGATGTGGGCCAGGGAAGGAGATTGCGTGCCCGTGAAAACAAGATAACTTCAGCTGAACCGAGGATGATGTGAATGGGTTAAAACTAGTGTGGGGATTTCCGAAAACTTGCACGAACGGGATATACCGGAAATAATGATGTCTAGGGCAACTCACCGGCTGATATGATATCCACGATCGAGAATGACGTGGAGGCCCGAGACGTCGATCTCAAAAGGGGAAACCCTGTTGAAGGACGTGAAGCGACCTTTTCTTCCTGCCCTCGTTTTGGCCCAGTTTTTGTCCATTTCGTCTGGGGGATGCATCGCGCCACAAGCCTATATCCTCCTTTTCGCATGCAAGGCGGCGCAAGCACCGAACTCTTTTAATCCCAGCTTACGTAGCCGTTCGTTTCAACACGGCGTCTCTTCCGGATGGAATATAAATATGCTCACACCCTTAGGCCCAAGGTTCCTGAGGGACAACTGCCACGAATGCTTTTCAACGTTGAATGCCTTGCGAATTGTGCCCACAAACCTAAAACAAGCTCATTATCGTAGTCATCAGGTCGCTGATCTCAACATCGTAATTGGTGTTAAAGGCCCTGTCAATACTGAAGAACACTGATCGCAATAAGAGGATAAGGGGCCTCCAACCACGACCATACCGTTGAGAGCATGACCCCAGGCGTGGAAGAAGGCTCATGAACCGATTTTTTTTCAATTGACAATATTTATCTGCAGGTGCTGGAAGTTAGGGATTGGAAAGTTGTTGGGGCAGGAGGAAACAACTTCTGTAATACGTTCTCGTTCAGTGGATGAGGAGTTCCCAATGGTGCCATTCCCTGAAGGGGCATGTCAAAGTCGGAATCAAAGAATCAAAAGCCTCACGGATCCTGATAAAAGCAATCACTATAGTGCAGCAAACATTTTTCGAGTCAGTTTTATTTTCGCGAGGCAAAATAAATCGCGAAAATAAATGCCCTACGAACTTTCATTGATGACTTTTCACCATCACCGATTCAACGTTACCCCAAGGTTTAGCAACTGGAACGTATATTTCATTGCGAGCATTTTTATTATTCTTGAATAGGGAATTATTTTTGCTTCACTCTACTTCAATCATGTATGCTTGCAATTATAATAATATGTGATTAGGCATCTTCTTGTTTCATCCAGGTTAACCTCCAGGTTAACCTGAGTGTCCATTGGGCACTCAGTGAAGAAGAATCATTTTTGGGAGTCTCACATGCTCATCCAGCATTGGCACATCTTGCGACAGGATGAGGTCATGTAACGTGCTTTCTCATTTTACATGTTATGCTATACATTCCTTGTGATTATGAAGTAAATTAAAAACTAATTTGGTACTTATCTTAGTGAAGTAGGGGGACCCGAAACTGTTTGGAAGATGGTTCATGTTCTCTGAGGAACGAACGAAATTAGGGCGCCTAATGACCAGTGGGACACAAAAGAAAAAAAAAGGCAAATGAATAATGATATGTAATTTTCTCGCCGCTTCCCCTTTTGTCCGTCGTCGGTGCCTTGCGACAGACATGCTCGTCCTTGCGTCCATCACTTTCTTTCACCATCTTTCACCATCTTCTCTCCTCAAACCTGTCGCTTATATACACTTATTTTCTTTAATTGCGTTAATTCATTTCACATGCACAGTGCAGCTAGCCTTTTAAAATATCGTTCAGTTTAATGAAATATACGAGGGGCATTCACAAGTTCTAAACAATTTGTTCATCTACTTCCCTTCGTGGAGAGGAATACCGTGTATTTGTATTTGTCGTTGCTTGATATGTTTCCGACATACCTTATG